TACACAAATCATTGAGTTCCAAGTGCCAAGGGCCGAAACCCGAACCCCGAAAATATGTGCACAACATGTCCATTTTTCACTCACTGCACAAATCACCAAGTTTTGAGTGCTGAAACCTGAAACTTGAAACCCGGCATGCAACATGTTTATTTTTCATTTACATTACACAAATCATTGAGTTCCGAGTGCTTTGGGTCATGTCCATTTTTCACTCATTGCACAAATCACCAAGTGTCGAGTGTTGAAACCTGAAACCCGGTACCTCAAATGGACACGAATTGTATTTGTATGTATTATCCATTGGTGTAGGGCTCAAATAACTTGGGAATTGTATTTGTCAGTACTCAGTACTTGGTACTTGGTACTTGGTACTCGGTGATTGGTGATTGGTGGTCAGTGGTCAGTACTCGAGACTCAGGTAGTCAATATAGGCAATGATAATGAAAAATGACAGCTGTAGTCCATGTCAAGGTAAGTGTCTTGGTAGTCTTTCCTTGTCATTCAGCAAAACATCAGCAATAATGAAAAAATGAAAGTTGTTATTATGCTTAACTTCCTTACCAAAGGTTGTAGTCCAAGTCCAGGTGAGTGGAGTGGTAGTCTTTTCTTGTCAATTGGTTATCTTGTTACTCATTACGCAGTACTCGGTACATGGTAATTGGTACTCAGTATTTGGTTGTGATACTCGGTATCCAGGAATCAGTAGTCAGCTTAATGAAGGTTGTAGTCCAAGTCTAGGTGAGTTTATTTGTAGTCTTTTCTCGTCCATTGGTTACCATGTGACCAAGATATAAGCTAAAGAAATCCAACACATCAATAATGACAAATGAAATACATGTGTGCAGTAAGTGAGTCTAAAGATAAAAGAATGAATATTAAGAGCGAGACTTGCACATTATGTCGAGATATACAACATAACAAGCCTGTGATGTGATCAGAGACCTGGAATAACACCCATATACATCCATTATAATAGCTTAAAAGCTTAGAAAGATTCATGAAGGATTGATGTAATGATAGGCAAAATGACATATGTGTGGAGAGTGACAATAGACATCTTTTATACGAAGTCACATTTATATATGATTCAGGCCGAAAATATCATTACAAATAACTTTCATTTTTCATTATTGCCGATGTTTCAGATTTCTTTAGCTTATATCTCAGTCAAATGATAACTGATGGACAAGAAAAGACTACCAATACACTCCCCTAGACTCGGACTACAACCTTCGGTAAGGAAGTTAAGTGTAATAACAACTTTCATTTTTCATTATCATTTGCCTATATTGACTACCAACCACCAACAACCAACCACTAACCACCAACTACTGAGTACCGAGTACCGAGCACTGACAAATACAATTCCCAAGTTATTTGAACCCTACACCAATGGATAATACATACAAATATAGAATTCATGTCCATTTGAAGTACCGGGTTAAAAATATTCAAGAAATTGCTTGCAGCCTATCAAAATTCATCATAGGGGCTATTTCAGCTGTAGGACAGAGTTGCAGCAGAGTGAGAAAGGAATGCTAAGAAGAAATATTCAAAATTGATAGATAGCATGTCTAGAAGAGTGGCAGAAGTGATTAGAGCAACAGAAGGTCACATAAAGTATCATAATTATTGAGATTGTGTTGATCAAACTAAAAGTCAAAAATGTGTCTCAATGAGTCACCAAATTAAAATAGCCATATCTGCACATGATGACATCAGCTTCCCACACTATAGGGAACTCAAATGAGGCTAAGAAGTATAGCTTTATGTGATTCTTCTGATGAGGAGATGGATGTTGAGGTGAAGGTTGATTGTCCTGGTGAGAAGGTTGAAATGGCTACATAATTGCTCAGTGATAGATGTACATAAATCTTTTTCAAGGCATGTTACCTATGCCACAATTGAATGATTCAATCATTGAGTTCCAATATCCAGAACTCGAAACTGTAGATTGAGGTAGATATCACCTGAAACCCGAACACCCTAACACCCAAATGTCAAATTTTCACAGTGCCAAACCCCGAGTGCCGGGTGCCGGGTGCTCAGTCCCAAAACCCAGAACTTCAGGTCTTGGCTTTCCGGTGAAATTGTGGTCCCAGATAAACCAGGCAACCTCCTGCCAGAATATGATTCTTCTGATGAGGAGATGGAGGTTGAGGTGAAGGTTGATCATCCTGGTGAGAAGGTTGAAATGGCTACATAATTGCTCAGTGATATATGTACATAAATCTTTTTCAAGGCATGTTACCTATGCCACAATTGAATGATTCAATCATTGAGTTTCAATATCCAGAACTAGAAACTGTAGATTGAAGTAGATATCACCCGAAACCCGAACACCCTAACACCCAAATGTCAAATTTTCACAGTGCCGAACCCCGAGTGCCGGGTGCCGGGTGCCAAGTCCCAAAACCCAGAACTCAGGACTTGACATTTGAAATGAAACACATTTTTCAGACATGTTTGAATCTGCCTACATATATCCATAAACATTTTACTAGCCCCCGAACCCTGACAAATATCTTTGTCCAGTCCCACATCGAGTCCTGAGTTCCGGGACCCCTGAACCCCAAAACCCAAAACCCAGCAGTCCACAACTTCGGGGTTTGGGGGTTGGTAAAATGTGTATGGATATATGGAAGGTTGATTTAAACATTTTTGAAAGATGTTGCATATGAAATGTCATGTCCCGAGTTTCGATTTCCGGGTTTCGGGAGTGCCGAGTCCCAAAGCCCGGAGTCCAAAAACCCAGAGTTATGTCAAATTTTCAGTGCCGAACCCCGAGTGCCAGGTGCCAGGTGCCAGGTGCTGAGTCCCGAAACCCAAAAACCCGGAACTCAGGATTTGACATTTGAGACGAACATCATTTTTCAGACATGTTGATATGAATCTATGTATATCTATAAACATTTTACTAACCCCCAAGCCCCGAAATATATTTTTGTTGTCTCACATCCCGAGTTCCAAGTTCCAGGACCCCGAAACCCAGCAGTCCACAATTTCAGGGTTCAGGGGTTGGTAAAATGTGTATGGATATATGGAAGGTTGATTTAAACATTTTTGAAAGATGTTGCATATGAAATGTCAAGTCCCAAGTTTTGATTTCTGGGTTTCGGGAGTGCCGAGTCCCGAAACACGGAGTCCCGAAGCCCGGAGTCCCGAAACCCGGAATTCAATACTCAGGACTTGACATTTGATGAGACATCTTTCAAAAATGTTTAAATCAACCTTTCATATATCCATACATATTTTACCAACTCCCGAATACCGAGTTCTGAGTTCCGGACCCCAGAACCCCGAGACTGCTGGGTCTCAGGTTTCGAGGTCCGGGGGTCCGGAACTCGGAACTCAGTATGTAGAACAAAATATATTTCAAACATGGGTAAGTCAATGTGTTTGTCAATAAACTCGATGGTAAATCAAATTTTATTGATCTCCCCAAATTTCAACAAGTTCCAAGTTCCAGGACCTCTGAACCCCGAAACCCGAGACCTGGCAGTCTTGGGATTCGGGATTCAGGGGTTGGTACATCTCGGTTTGGGGTTTGGCACTGAAAATTTGACATATATATTTTTGTGAGTGTTGTGCTTCTGGTGTCCATGCTTATAAATAGGATATGTTGCACACCAGGGTTCAGGTGTGGGGTTTTTCCACTTCAGTCCTCAATTATTGGTCAATGCCACACATGGTCGATTCATGTTTTTGTGCTTAGGGGTTTAGATTTGGTGGTCGATGGTAGGTATATGCACTCATAGTTTACATGTATCCTACATGTTTGATTCGCTGGTGGCTACATCAGCTGTATGTCTTGATGGAACATACTAGGCTCACCCATATATGTACCCATCTATGTACAATTCCCCCACATCAGCCCACCCATCTATGCATTATCCCCCACCTCGGCCCACCCATCTATGTAATACATCCTATGTTGGCCCACCCGTCTATATAATACATCCTATGTCAGCCCACCTGTCTATATAATTATACCCCACCTCGGCCCACCTGTCTATGTAATAAATATTTTATCGCACCCTCGGCCCACTCGTCTATTTGATATCTCTTTCGTCGGCCCACCTGTATATGTAATACTTTTCACGTCGGCCCACTTGTATATGTAATACACCCCATGTCAGCCCACCCATCTATGTAATATTCCCCTACCTCGGCCCACCCATATATGTAATACACCCCCGTCAGCCCGCCTGTCTATATAACAATATTTGCCTTACATCTCTCTTCAGCCCAGCTGTCTATAATATCCTACTCTACATATTACCCAGATGGGCCCACCCATCTCCATGAATGATCATATTCCCCCGGCCCATCCGTCAACATCAAGGATATATATATCATTGGCATACATGGGCCCACCCATCTCCATCGGAAATAATATGTGTCCCAGCCCATCTGTCATCATCGAGAATATACACAACATGGGCCCATGATCCACTGGCCCGTCTCATACAGGATATTATGGAGGTCGGGTGGCCCGTATAATATGGAATTTGTCACTGAAGGGGCTCAGTTATGTTGACCTCCCACTTGTGGTTCAGCCGATGGTGTTGCAGTCGGTGATCCTGCCTTCGGCACTTGATCAGCCTCAGTATTCCAGTACATCTCGAATACTAATATTGTCAACTGTCAGCAGTGGTCTAGTGAACAGGATATCTACCTTCATGGCCAAAATTGTTCGTAGGAAGTGCTTCGGTGTAAGTCTCTTTAGATGGCATGGTTGAGATTTTGGAATTAGTCACTTGAGGTGGGCCGGATGTAGTAGCTTGGTTAGGTCGAATGCCAATATGATTGTCGCCCACAGGAATCCGGTCTTTTTGAGGGGATGGAGTAAGACACAACTTTGGTGGCACCCACTGGTCCCATGTGAGAAAGAAATTAGAGTCGGCTTTGATGCACTCATCCTGTAGCCTTCGAGTTGTCTCGACTGGATTCTCATGGGAATACATAGACATCTTTGGAGGATTTGAACTGAGTGGTCGATGAACAATGCAGAACTGCAATGGCCATTGCCATACCTCGGCCATTTCCAGATTTTGGTGAGTTCCAGCGGTGTCACAATGTGGTGCTCTTGACTTCTCTGAAGTTTTACCCACATCCACACAAAGTCGTTCCATACACAACTAGGTCAATACTTTTCCTATCTCTTCCGCTTGTCTTGCAGCTCACATTTGCCACCGTCACCCTCATATTCTCAGTCATGTCATCTCCACCATGCCGTCACAATAGGAATCCAATGATGTTTTGGCGCTCGCCGACAAGTCTGTGTGTGATTCGGTCAGCCGAATTGGACGGTGGGAAGCAGATGGGCGAGCTGTAGTTGATGAGGCGCATGACATTGCGTGACAAGTGGTATGTGTTTTCATTTACAGTGGTTATTTACTGGCTAACAATCAACAGTCTCGAGCCCTCCAGCAGCACAGCAGGACTTGCTCAGTCATATCGCCGTTCCTCCTTTCTGTGGCTGCCAAGGTCCGGGCGACCATGAACCAAGGCCTTGCTCATCAATGGAGCCATGTATGGGCTGATGATCCATGCATGGAGTCACATCCCTTCTTCGCCAAGACTGTCAGATATGGTGAGCGCGCACTCTTGAGATTCACAGTGGTAGCTTAACACCCTTATAGAACAACCAGCACTGGCACCAGCACCAGCACCAGCACCACCAGTCTCCCCAGTCCTGCCCCCAGCTCCAGAACAGATGTCAATACTGCCGATCGATTCACTTCCTCGTGCCAGTCATGCACACCATCTGGATGTTCCTGGCAAGATGACCGACAAGGGCAAACTGTCTGACCGTGGGACATGTCAATCCAGAGAGGACAGCACAGATGCCGAGCCAGGCAGAAAGAAACAGAAGGTCTTGAAGCATGTGTTGAAGGCCATTATCTCCGACACCGAGGACGAGGACAGGCGGCCGACAGGGACCATTATAGTTAAGGCAAGATTTACGCTCATCATTTCAAACCTAATGCTTACATTGCCTCAGCGGTCCAAGAACCTTGAAACTTCCGGTGCAGCACCGGCCAAATCAAAGGTAAGCACAGCAGCAATTTCAGTGCTCATCTCATTACTGACTCTTCCACAGGGCATTATCAAACACAGCAAACAGGTAAGATTTACCTCGTTGTGTCAGTCCTCGTCCCTCAACCATCATCAGCCGGATGCCGAGCCAAAGATCAGCCGGGCCCAGGCAAAGGGTAAAGCAAAGCAGAAGGCAGTGGACATCGCTGAGCCTATCAGAGGGCATCCGCTACTGAAGTCCAGTGCTGAGGAGGTGAGTTGGCCAAGTTCATCGCAGTGACAGGGTACTAACCACCTCATAGTACACTCCACTGTGCAAGAGATGCATCGGGGAGTCTTGTTTGGTTGTGATTGGCAGAAAGGGGCAGGCCATCAAGTCCTGTGCAAAGTGCCACTTCATGAAGGTGCGGTGTAACCAACCAGTGTCGGTCGATACCCGTGGTCCTTCAACAACACAGGCCTCAAAGCCACATCCTTGGTCAAAGGCCACACCGGCCTCCAAGTCCAAGGCCCACTCCAGGACCACCAGAGCAACCTCCCGCATTCGTCCACCAACTCCGATTGTGGAATCTGAGGACGCTGTTGAGGATACAGGTAAGGGTTTTTTTCCTTGTTAGACCGTGCCTTACACCTTGTTTATACACTGCAGGCATTTTCTCATTTTCCTCCAACAAACATCCAAAAAACATTGAATTAGAAGATAGAAATTTCCTTGCATTGTGTGTATCAAAACATTGAAAAAAAATAATGAATGTATTGAAGATTTTCTGTATGCAAGACATAATCTAAAAATGAGTCATTTCCCTCAAGAAACAGTCTATATTTTTCATTCATCATTCCTCAAATAACAATTTACAATCATGTTAAATTTTTTGCCTCTGTTTTTCCAATGTTCTGTGTATCAAAAATCTCAATTACTTCATCCTGTTCACCATATGTTTGATCCAAGAACATTGAAAAATAATATAACAAATAATAATAAATATTTTGACAATGTTTTGTTAAGGAAAAACAAAGAAACTTTCAAACTTTCATTTGTATATTTGATAAGAGGAAATTTATGAAACATGCCCCATGTTTTGTAAGAATAAATCCATAATGTTTGCAGTATATTCCTCCTGCACAACACTTGAAAAACATTTATTATATTCAGAGAAAAAAAATGAAACATGATTGCAGGATACTCTGCCTCAAAACATGCACAAATTATACATTGTTTTCTGCACACAATAGATGGAAAATACAGCATTATCCTTGAAGGAACATGATGAATTTTGGCATCATGTCCCACACACAGAAAATCATTGAAACATAAATTATTATTTTTTCAATGTTTTGACAGACAAAATGAAGGTACACTGGTCCAAGTAGTGCTGCTAAGAACCAAGAACTATTCAGCGGGGAAATGAGAACAAAATGGTGTGACAATATAGAAGGGTTTTTTGAGAAGATTTTTAGTAATGGTGAAGCAATGAGTATAGAGGCAAGGTTGAGAGTAGGGGCGCAAGTGTGAAGACGAAACATTTCGAGAGGCTAAGACTTTCTGTAGAGCAAAGTTTGCTTTGAGCAGGGAACCAACATATGATTCTGCTGTTGTTATGAGTGTACATGAGCAGTATAAATACATTTTCGAGTACTTTACTAGGCTGAAATAAGAATGGGGAGCATATGGCGAGGTGGAAATACTTTGGTGAAACAAGGGTATCGTGAAGTTTGAGCACAAGGTAAGATAACGGAAAAAGAGAGAATGGAGAAGTGAGAGAATGTATCCACATAACTCGGATGCGAAGTGTAGAGCTTTCTCACATCCGTGAGTCACATGGACTTTGTGAATGACAGTTCCCAGATTTCCTTTTTGAGGTGCGGGCCGTGCGTAGAGGATAGACAATCCTTACACATGTCATGGCCCATGGGACACAGAAAATCGATGAATCCTTTAAGTCAGCCTTTCTTATGCACAACCAGCTGCTTTTGCTCCTTGACATCACTTGGCATTAATTTGCATTTCTTTCTGCCTGTGAAACTGCAGTTGGTGTATTTAGTACATGACTGCCTCAGTGCTGCACCAAGCAGTCCAGTTGTTGGCTTGTGACATGGATGGTTCACATTTGAACCCCAAAAAAACCAAACATGACCACTCTGAACAGTTTGCAAAGGTTCAATCCAGGGTTTGTCGACTCTGGTAAAACTGGACCCAGGTTTGGCACTTGCGCCCCTACTCTCAACCTTGCCTCTATACTCATTGCTTCACCATTACTAAAAATCTTCTCAAAAAACCCTTCTATATTGTCACACCATTTTGTTCTCATTTCCCCGCTGAATAGTTCTTGGTTCTTAGCAGCACTACTTGGACCAGTGTACCTTCATTTTGTCTGTCAAAACATTGAAAAAATAATAATTTATGTTTCAATGATTTTCTGTGTGTGGGACATGATGCCAAAATTCATCATGTTCCTTCAAGGATAATGCTGTATTTTCCATCTATTGTGTGCAGAAAACAATGTATAATTTGTGCATGTTTTGAGGCAGAGTATCCTGCAATCATGTTTCATTTTTTTTCTCTGAATATAATAAATGTTTTTCAAGTGTTGTGCAGGAGGAATATACTGCAAACATTATGGATTTATTCTTACAAAACATGGGGCATGTTTCATAAATTTCCTCTTATCAAATATACAAATGAAAGTTTGAAAGTTTCTTTGTTTTTCCTTAACAAAACATTGTCAAAATATTTATTATTATTTGTTATATTATTTTTCAATGTTCTTGGATCAAACATATGGTGAACAGGATGAAGTAATTGAGATTTTTGATACACAGAACATTGGAAAAACAGAGGCAAAAAATTTAACATGATTGTAAATTGTTATTTGAGGAATGATGAATGAAAAATATAGACTGTTTCTTGAGGGAAATGACTCATTTTTAGATTATGTCTTGCATACAGAAAATCTTCAATACATTCATTATTTTTTTTCAATGTTTTGATACACACAATGCAAGGAAATTTCTATCTTCTAATTCAATGTTTTTTGGATGTTTGGTGGAGGAAAATGAGGAAATGCCTGCAGTGATAGATGTGTCTGTCACCGATGATGACGATGCCGAGACGGATCATGATACTGACGCTGGTGTAGAGACTGATATCTCTGTGGGCTTGCAGGGATCTAAAATCCCATTGTCTCTATCACTTCCCAATATAGCGCGACTCATATCTCACCCAGCGCGCTCAAGCGCTTCATTGGCCGCTCGCGCACGCCAGCACTCCGGTTGCTCAATAGTCGTGCGTCGCCGCACACATCCTCAGTTCCATCACATGTCCTCCGTCCATCCATTCCATGTCCATTCGGTTCGTCGGTGTGTATTCCAATTCTATTTTAATTGATTCTGACATATCTCCGGCGCTTATGGCCATATTTTGTATGTTTTCTGTTATGGACCCTTTATTACATATTATCTCGTGTCCGCTTCACTTCTCGGTTCGCTTTAGCACTTAACATTACTTAGTATATATAGATGCGCATAAACTGTATAATGACTATCTTCTGCCCACACATCGTTGGACTATAGGTCTAAGTTTCCCTCTAAATCTAAAGTATCTAAAGCAAAATACAAGCGCCATCGCCATACATTACTAGAAACTCTGCCCATTAGTTTTCTGACTCATTAAGAGTTGCTGCGCTCCACCACCCGCACGTGCACTGCTTCCGCTTAGCGCGCGCTTCCATTATAAGTTGCACGCCATTATCTATTATCGGCCGCTATCGCTCATCGACACTTCATGTCGCTTTCACTCGCTTGCGCTTCACTCATCGTCGCACGTCTTACCAGGCTTGACCAAGCGCCCGGTTCAGTGTTCCCTCCAAATTATACACTTAGAGAAACCTTCTCAGTAGCAATCCCCTTGGGCCGACGTATATCTCGCTCATCGAGGACTACTTGAGTTATCTCATACCACTCATATTCACCCACTTCCCATTCCTCTTCTACACCGGCATGGATCATGATACCAATGCCGAGTGGCACACTGACATTGCCACCAAGATGTCCGTTGAGCCTGACGATGAAATCATGGTCGACCAGCCTGGCGCCATGGCTTCGGTGGATGACTTCCCTGCCAACCATTGGGTGGAGCCAGTCGGCGACATGCCTATTCCCATTCCCCCACCAACCCCTGCAGCCGAGCCCCTTTCCCTTCCATTAGCACCTTCATCATCCACCATCCTCGAACGTGTGCTAGCCCTGACTACTCAAGTCACGGCTATGCAAATGGCCGAGGAGAATGCTAATGCCAGGGTAAATGTGATGGAGCAGGAGTTTGAAGCCCGCATCTCCTCAATGCGTGCCGAGCTTTCCTCCATGCAGCTTGATGTCGGCACCATGGTGACCTTGGTGAATGGACTTGTTGGCCTGGTTGAGAAGCTTTGGCAGGAGCGGGTCCTTGCTAATCCATCGTTCCCACCGCCCATGATCAGCCATGGCAATGAATCCTCAGCCACCACATTCGGCATGAGGTACCTGAATGGTGTGTTCAGCCCTTTGGTTACTCCCATGCCCTTTTCTGTTGGAGTCAGCCAAACCTCAGTCTCCTGCCCTCCCAGGCGTCCTGACACGCAGGGCACCACATTCCCGTCTGGATAGGTGTCCCTAACATCAGCACATGCCAATCCTTTATGTGCTCCTGCTGTAGTTGAACTGCATTTGCTATCACACCACCTGCTTCTGCCATGCATTCCGTTCTCCGATCATTTGGCCAATTACATAGTTGTACAATAAGTCATGTGTTGGTCGGCGAATTATGCCTGTATCACTTGGTTTTCAATCTAATTGTTTTGGTGTGGATTCTATCATTCATTGAATTCAAGCATCGACAGCGTGTCAGCACAGTTGGTCTCAGTCAGGTTTGTGGTTTGCGCGGTGTGCCACACTTTAGTTTGTTCGGATTTGACCGATTGATACTTGTTACATTCCAGCCTGTTAGGACAATTCATCTCGGTTGATTACACTTGGTGGGCCTTGTTGCGCTGCAATGTGGCTGCCCACTCCAGTTCCATGGGCAGCCACATTGCAGCGCAACAAGGCCCACCAAGTGTAATCAATCAAGATGAATTGTCCTAACAGGCTGGAATGTAACAAGTATCAATTGGTCAAATCTGAACAAAATAAAGTGTGGCACACCCAAAAGTGCTTGTGCTAGTAAGTGCATGCTGAAGCACCAGGTGCACCAAAAAAAATACAACACAGGTCGCACTGTGCTATGGAAGTGCATAGAATGATGTGAGTCTCTATAATGCAACCGAACATGTTGTAAAGTATTGATTGTATTGCCATGTGGTCTTGTATAGAAATGGACGATAATATATAAAGCTGAGACAGTGGGCACAGTTGCAGTAGGTTTTGTGTTGTATAGATTTAACCTACAAAGTCCAAGAGAAACAGATTTTTACGTTGATGACGGTGTGAAGAAGTAATAATAGCTAGCTAGCAAGAAAGCTAGAGCACTAATGAAATCCTACTGAGTGCAGGTGTGCTATATCGACCTAAGAGGATTGCTATGAAGCACTTCCTTCAAGTAAAATGCAAAGGGAGCAAATGCAAAATGGAAGAGAATGAATGTGATCTTGGAATGCGAATCCGCTGGTGTGAGCAAAGGTGAGACCACGGGTCCAGTAAAAGTGCGATGAGAAATGAATGAAAGCAAGAGGTTTTCAGGTAAGGAGTGGTGGGCACTAGGTAAAGTGTGGTTCTGCGGATAGCAGCTAGGTATAGATGAGGTTTAGGGCCAAGGTATAACTAAGTATAGAATGCTAAGTTGGAACCCAAGAGTGGTTTGGATCCATGCAGAGCCTATGTAAGGAAACTTAGAGGTGCATTCTTAGAGCGGTCAAGAATAAGCAGGTTCAAAGTGAGGATGAACAAAGCCTGTCAATTGCACAAGGTACTAAGAACATCTAAGGTGACTTTGCAGAATATAGGTAGTGCATAAGTGTCTGGCACCCATAGGTGAGAACTGTAGTGATGTAAATGAGGCAGATAAGTAATATGTAATGAGAACACATGCAGAATGAAATATGCAGATACATGTAATAAGCCTTGCTATCATTCGTGAAACCAAGAGAGACAATGAACATGCACCAGTGGAGGTAGGTGGACATGGAAAGCACATGGACAGATAGTACGGAAAAGCAGATCCAAGTGCGGATAGGTGCTGGATGAGTATTGGCTGAGATGGACTTGTTGCCAGAGAGTGTGGAAATGATGTAGACCTCATAACTTCCTACAGGTCCTGACACAAGTATCAAAAGACACTTGTTTCTGCCCAGCATAGGTCCAAGCGTCACAACAGCTTGACTAAGGCTAATGAAGATTAGTGTCTGAGATACTGTCTATGAGTAAATATTCAAGGCATGTTCTTATGAAAAAATGCGACATTCAACAGGTTTTAAACCTATTGCACTCCAACAGAAACAGATGTCTATTATGTCAGGATGACCGCTTGGCTAAACACAACTCTGATGAGCATATGTCAAGGTGTGGTTTCATTAAAAAAAAACAAATTCTATCATTGGCAGGTTTAAAACCTGCATGGTCCAAGAGAAACAGATTTTGACTCTGATAATCACTGGAAATTTCATCTTTAGTGGGTTTTGAACCCACACACATTGAAACAGATTTGAATTCTGTTGCAGCAACTGAACTGTTTGACTAACACCAGTTAGATGCATCTTTAAAGAGACCATTAAGAAGTGAATCTGCAAGGCAAGTCTACCATTACCTGTTACTTGTAATGTTTTCCCTCAGCTAAATAGATGAATTGAACACAGAATGTGATACAGCACTTTCAAAAAGTGAGAGAAGAGCAATAAGATGATGAAAGGTCTCAAATACAGCTCAAATCTTTGCCTTGATAGATGTGTATTCTTTCTCATTCTGCAGGTCATTAGAATCAAACTTGACATGTAATCTGGTCTATTTCTTCAACCAAGTCGAGACCTTTGGAGAGAATTAAATTGTTTTTGTATTTATCATTGCAAGTGTGCATCAAGACTTTGGTCATACGTTGAACTTTGGATCAAGGATACTTGCATTTACATTTGCCTCTGGTAATTGTAATTCTTTAGCAAAAAAGATTCCTAATTTATGCATGAAACCAACAGCAATAACAATCAAGATAAAAGAAGTAGAGATGTATATTTTACATAAATGAATATTTGGGCCTGATTGGATGAGATAGAATTTCATGTCTGAGCCTGAGGAGGCCCAACCCTTGCATTTATACATCATTGCCTTCATCCCAGCCATGATATTTCACCTTATCACACTGGATGCAGACATCAATTTCTAACATCCCTCTTGGGCCCAATCATATGTGATCCTTTCACTGTTACTTGTTGTTACAAGTAACATCGGCTACATGGCCCCCCTATCATTTTTCCCCTTCGTCCTCGCCCTCGTATGCCTCCGGCTCGTACTTCTCTACCGACTATCCGTTGACCGGATCCTCGGGACCGTTCCCGTCCCTCATCCCCCTCCTATCGCACCAACGTGCGCACGTGCCTTCGGGCTATGACTCGTTCTGACTCGTGCCACCAATGTGGCTTTCCTTATCTTGTCTTATCTTTCCTTTGACTCGTGCATGCTGCACATTGTATCATTTACCGTTGGCTTGTTCCAACGTTTCTCGGTCTCATTCCGCATTCGACCTTACATCACTAATCAGGCTCTGCTACCAGCGTACCTATACCCTTTCCGTTTCCCCTTTGCCCTTACCTACAGTACGGTAGCCTTGCCCTTAACACTTTCCACTTAGTATAAGTAGTCGGTCACTCTGTACTAGATTCCCTAACTTGAATCTACTCAATCTTCCCTCGAACATACTTCCCTCTGAAGCCCCCTCAGCTTCAGTCTCTAGTATCTTTTCTTAGGTGCTCATCGCGCCTAAGTCTACCTCGATCGACCACCTCATCGTTCGGACAAGACTGTCCTTACTTTGAGAACGTCAGTGACTTTGAAGACATCTGTCTTAGAAGTCACGTGACACGCGCGTCTCTGATATCTGCCGACTCGACGTCGCCAGTCTCAGTCGCTACACCGGACCATTCCGGTTACGTCACAAACGTTAGCGGACGACGCCCCTCTTAGGGCTCCGCATAACAGATCTATTTGAGTGTGTAACAAAAGATTCAAGTTTCCTTTTTGCGCCCTGCCATCCGCACGGCCCATTAACCGACAGACACCACGACTACCTGGATCCCGAAGTACCCTTGGGAACGTGATCCCAACACTCCGGACTCCGAAGAAGAAGAATCGGAAGAAGACCACACGTCCTCTGACGAGTTTCCCGACGAACAACCGTACGGCAACCTCAACTCGAACCCTGGAACAAGAATGTCCGGAGGCCCCACCCAACAACCGACAGTGGTCGTATCCAGGCCTGAACTAAAGGCTGGAGTACCACAGAACTATGATGGAAGCATCGATGATGCCGAGCGCTGGATGTACTCGGTGGAGACATACTTCCTCATCAACTCGATGATCTACAGCTCCGACCAAACCAAGGTCGCTGTTGCACTCCAGTACATGAACAATGGAGACGCCCACGTCTGGGCCGACACCTTCTACCGAGCGGCCTTCGACAAACCTACCGTTGACTTCGGTAGCTGGAAGGACTTCAAGAAGGCTTTCATCGAATCCTTCCACCCGATCGACCGGATGACTGAGGCTCTAACCAAGCTTCATGGTTTGACCCAAACTGGCGACGTGATGCCCTACATCGCGACGTTCAAGACCCTGTCGTCCACTGCTAGTCTCAAGCAGGACGTCGCCCTCATCCACTTCTTTGAACGAGGGTTGAAACCAGGACTTCGAACTGCCATCTATGGGAAGGAGGTCGTCCCCACCACCATTGACAAATGGTACACTGCCGCGACACAGTTGGAAGCCAACTACAAGCGATCAAGAGCAGTTGTGTCCAACAACAGATCGGTATGCCCTTCCGGCCACCGGCACGTCCCCAAGCCTCAGGTCCGCCAACGCGATCCTGATGCTATGGACGTTGATCGTTCCCTCACGGCTGAGGAACGACAGAAGTGCTTCGATAAAGGCCTTTGCTTCAAATGCAAGGAGAAGGGCCATCGAGCAAACGACTCCCGGTTCCACCCGAAGGTGCGCCGAGGAGACAAGAACGACGAAGAAGACAAAGGCAAGAAGCCAAGCAAGTCTGGCGTCCGCCAGCTTGACGAGTCTTCTGACGAGGAAGACATGGAAGTCAACCTTGTCAAAAGAAAGGATTTTTAAAGAGAGGGCTTGCCGAACGGTCAATTCCCTCTATCTGCGCATTGTATACTAAAGCTGTTGGTAAAACCAACGAGTTTCGTGTCCCGGTGACACTTTTCTCTTCTTGCAGTGCCAAAACCGTTCAGTCGACCGCCATCATCGACTCAGGGGCAGGTGGGACCTTCATTAGCTATGACTTCGTCAAGCGAAATGGGATCCGGACCCACCTACTCAAGAAACCCTTCCGGATCACCACAGTAGACGGAAGCCCGTCCTCGGCAGGACAGGTAACCCAATACTGCATGCTATTCATTCGTCTCGATCGGAGACTTATGTATGGAAAGTTCAACATAACGAAACTTTCC